CGAAGTATTAAGCAAGCACAACTCGCATGCCACGCGTGAGATAATTGTAGCTTATCAAATAAATAAGTTTGACAGTAAACGTGTAAGTTGCCCATCGGTTGCGTTGTTGCAAAAAGAGATTGCGTATCTCGATCTTCTTTAATCTAGATGTGTATTTGTTTTCAGCTCATTCAACAAGAGACAAGAGCTTTGCTGACATTTTATCGCAGATGTTGTTCTTGCACCCTTATACGCATGCCCAATTTTCTCCCTTTTTCACCTATATATTTACAACACTCTGATATTAAATCTTTGTTGAAAGTCAGCGCTCTTTTCTGTCCTTGTTTTAAATGCGAAGCATTTCTTAGCGAACTTCGGTGACTTTGAGCGTATCTATCTATCTATCTATCTATCTATCTATCTATCTATCTATCTATCTATCTATCTATCTATCTATCTATCTATCTATCTATCTATCTATCTATCTATCTATCTATCTATCTATCTATCTATCTATCTATCTATCTATCTAGCCGCCTACGACTTTTAGCTCTCCTGGCCGTTTCGATAATAGTATCGATACCAAACTTGGTATGACATAACATGGCTGTATGAAGAACATATATGACTAGTCGTAACATTAAAATCATTAAATTTATGTTGTGAATTTCATGATTTATATTTCATTGTCCTGTAGGTATTGCGGTAGTTTTATTCGCATGGCATGTTGCAAAACTTGTATGGTATGGCATGATTGCATGCCGAACACAAGCGACAGACCCTAGCATCAAAATCACGATATGCGTGTGATATAACAACATGACTACACGCCTCGCTCATGATGCGCTCGTGGCCGTTTCGCTAGCCTCTCATATACTAAATTTGGTATTACAGTACGTTAATGGATGGCGAAGGTATGTGACTGGCGCAAATAGGATAAACATGAAATGCGTGCCAAGTAACAACATGACTACATGCGACCTCATGATGCACTGGCGGCCATTTCGCTTGCATCACTTATACCAAATTTGGTATTACAGAACGTGAATGGGTGACGAAGGTAAGACACTGGTGCACACATGATAAGCATGAGATGCGTGTCATGTAACAACATGATTACATGCTACGCCCATGATGTGCTCACAGCCGCTTCGCTAGCTTCACATGTACCCAACTCGGTATTACGCGACGCGAACGAGCTACATAAGTAAATGACGCATACAAACATGATAATCACGACATGCGTGTCATGTAACAACATGACTACATTCCACACTCATAATGCACTCACGGCCGTTTCGCTAGCTTCACACTTGCCAAATTTGGTAATACGAGGCGTCGATGGATGGCGAATGTATGTGACTGGTGCAAACATGATAGTCATGAGATGTGTGTTATGGGAGAACATGACTACATGCCACAGTCAAGGTGCCAATACATTTTGACGTGACGCGGTGCGCGTGCTCGCCGGCGTTCATTTCATCGCGTCACGCCGGCGTTGCCACGCCAGGCACCGTTCCTGCCATATAGTCGCAGGTGTGCGCTGCACTGCGTTGCTTTGACGCATGCTCGTTTCAGCACACCCGGCGTCCCTCCGCCACGAAAAGAGGGAGACGCCATGTTGCCTAGGTAACGCATCGGCTCGAAGTGCAGCATGTCGCATTTCGTGCGGTTGCCATCGGGCCGCGCCGATGGACGCTGGTCGCACCTGGCGTCAGACTATAGGGGGCTCCTGTTTCGCTAACGTAGTGTCACTGTTCCCAGCGTTCGCACGCGTCGACGCTACATGAGAATATATTGGGCCCTGCATGATACGCTCGCGGCCGTTTTGCGAGCTCCACACATACGCACCCGACAGTTGACCAGAGGGCGCGACGAAGCTTTCTGGGCTAGGGAGCCTTCATGTGCGCGCGTCTCCGGAGACGCGCGCACATGAAGGCTCCCTAATCTAGGCCGCCTCAGCATTATTGGTACCGACCGCCAGGGATACTAATAAAATGGAACGCTGGCTGAACACAGGGACGCGCTGAAGTGTCAGTGCCCTTTTTAACACATTTTTAAGGAACGCTTCCTGTGCGCTTACATAATAAGCCATGACCAGCTTGCTCGCAACTAAAAAAAATTATATGCACGTGCAAGTTTGGTTTTGCTGCGTCTACTCGCTAGGCTACGCATGAGAAGACTCGGTTTTGCTGCGCCTACTCACTAGGCTGTGTATTCTGGTGCTGCCATGAGATCTCGTAAACTGCATTGCCGTGCGCCTATATCAAAATTTGGTGTTATGTGACGTCAATGGATTACGAAGTAGATGACTGGTGCGAACATGAAAATCCTGACATGCGTTTCATGTAAGGACATTACAATATACCACGCTCATAACGTGCTCGCGGCCGTTTAACTAGCTCCGCATATACTGATTTTGCTATCAAGTGACGTGAATAGATGACGAAGGTAAACAACACATCTAAACATGATAACCAAGACACGGAAGTCGTGCACGGCACAATTTTTCTTCACGTCGTGACGTTGTGCTGATTTTGAAGTGACATATCAGCATTTCTCATTCGTGCTTCGCATACCATCGATTCCTACTGTACGCGGAATCTGCCTTTTTTTCTTTTTTTTTCTTCCGTAGTTATGAAGTAACTACTTCTAGGTTGTGCTGTTCCTACATTCAGTTTCCTCCTTTTTAGCTCAAACCTGTTGTGTATCAATAATAAATTGATCCAGTAATGAGGAGTAATGCTACTTACTTACTTACTACTACTACTGCTCTACTTACTAATGGTACTGCTTACTGCTCAACATTGATACTTCAACGAACTGAGCATTACAATGCTGAAGTTGAGGACAGACGTCCATAGTTGACATAATAAAATGGAGCTCGCTCACACTCACCGAAGAAATACATTTGGGCTCTGGGACCTTTTCGGACACTCACTCACAAAAATGTTCGTCAACTTGACACACTGCGGCTCAGATTCAATTTTTCTTATCTGAACTAGGATCGCCTGGGCTCATTTAGGCTAAGACGCACTGCTCGTCCTGTGTCTGAGTAAGTCTTGGAGATTGACGGCTATGTGAGTTTGTCAACCTATGACTCTAAATACTTAATCTTTAATCTTGGGGCTTGTGCTTTATCCAGAAGACTGCTTAGGGGTTAAGATAGTTAGGATAAATTATACAATTACGTCAGACGTTAGATAGTGTGGGTAAATTATAGAAAAATAACTTGTCTTCTTATACCACTTTAGATTAGATACAAGTGTCTACTTATTACCCGTGTCCTTTCACGTATACCTCTATTCCCATTTGTATTTGATTACCCAATTTCTTTAGGGCTCGCAATATTAGCAAATCATACATTTGATGAAAGATGTGATGGATACAATACTTTTGCAGTCATTTTTTTCTTACTGACCAAGCACTAAATCCTGTTTTCATTCCTTTCTCGTTTGACGATTCTGTACAATAATACATGCTAAATTTAGTTACACAGTGCTTTCTCCAAGGACTCTTTGTGGGTCTGACACACGTTTTAGATGTCTAAGCACTCCACTAGGTGTACCGCATTTATCGTTTGGCTCCTCAGCAGAATAGTAGTAACCAGCCAAATTGTCAGTCAACAGGAACCATGCCCTCTATAAAAAATGTCAAACCTATCATCCGTGAAATAATAAGAAGCACCCTGACACACGTCGACCCATCACGTTGACCAATTGGTTATGGTTCCTGACTACTCACACAAAGTTTGTGGGATCAAATCCAGACCGCTGTAGCCCCTTTTCGGTGGCCGTGAAAAACCTCAAGGGCCTTGTAATTAAAAATGTACGTTCAAGAACTCAAGGTGGTGGAAACTTTCGGAGCCCACCACTACGACGTTCTCATCTATTATAATCTTATCATGGTTGTGTAACTTTAAACACTACACTCATATTATTGCAAAGTATGTCTGTTATATTGCAACACCATCCTAAATCATTCCACATCTTTCTCACACTGCAAAGCGTATTCGATTTCGCTTATCCCTTACGAAGCTTGGTGTAAGGCTCATGTTTCATTGTCAAGGTACCATGCTACACCTTGTAGGGGCAACACCGATAGTATAGAACAGAGCTTGCTTAGCTACATGCAACAGTGATGCATTGGCTGCTACAGACATGGTGCTTCATGAATGACTGGCTGGCTTATTGCCATTCCGGCAAATGGAGTATCTCTGCTGTTCGGAGAAGCTGAAGGATGTAGTTGAATGAAGTTGGTCGTTCTTGTTTTATATTTGGTTTTAGTTTTTCGCGCAGCATGCGGTTCCTTCCAGGCCTGTATAAAAGAACCATGATTCGACCAACTACCACACAATTCACTCTGGATTCTTCTGCTCTCGAGGTAAGTCACTTAAAAAGTGTTCAACGTTCTCCCAATCGTTCCCGCACTACAGACGGTTACAAAATCTTTTTCAATTTCAAGGTTCTTTTTGCCTTAGATCATTTTCATTATTGTTGTTCAATATCGTGATAGGGTAGGTCAAATTTTTTACTGAAGTAAATTTGCCGTCGAATGCCTTCGCACGCCGAGCTGCTACAAACTAACCTAAGGCCGTTTAGGCATCCAAAAGACAATATAGTTAAGAGTCAAGACCTACTTCTAAACTCCGCTTGGTTGCCACTGGCATGGGTTCTTTACCGAAAGCATAATCATAGGTGGACGGGTGCCTTTACACTTCTCTTCAGTAATCATGAAAGAGTCGATGCTTCATGAACCTCTGAATGCAGAGTAGATTTTTAGTAATGAGGCCAATTAACACATGCTGGATTCACGGCAGACCAGCAAGTCATGGGATGTAGCTTCAAAACTTGAAATGGCACAAATTTAAGTGGTATTGCTTCTCAAATATGCAATCGCGAATCAGCCCTCTTGCTTCAAAAGGTGTGAGCCGCACACCGATGAGTCGTAAACTGCTGCGAACAAGCTCGCACATCTTGGGCGATGAATACGCGTAACATTCTTACACATTTTTTTTGCAGGCTCTACAGAAGAAGAAATGAGGCCTCACCTGCTGTTCACTGCACTAGCCGCCTTCGCGCTCCTTAACTCAGGTCAGTTACAATTTCTGAACTAGTAAGTGTGGCTTGCACTACACACAAACGATTTAGACAAATAAAATGAAATGTGAAGAAACTAAGCAATTTCATGCCGTACAGATGTTGAGAGGTGCAGTTTCAAGGGCAAGAAAGATAAAAACTTTCAGACACTGTTGCACTCATCTGGTAGAGAGAATGCTTGTTTAGAAATTCTGGCAATATAAATAAGCAGGCATAAACAGCAGAATATTCTTATACCTGTAACTGAGAAGACGCCTAAAGCTGAATGAACATGTCTGATAGATATCAGACAAGAAAACTGTTATAGAATCATAAGACAAATGCGTTATTATACTACTGTTCTTACTGATCCAGAATTTCAAGTGTGTTTGCAAGCATGCACTTTATTTATTCTTAAAGCGTTCCTGTCATTGTCCCTTCAAACTAGTTGAAGAAGCAGAGTGCATTCACACTTACTGTCCCTTCTCTGTCATATTTTTCTCCTTTTTCTTCTGGCTGCCACGGTGAAGGGGTCCTCTGTGATAGACAGTTTTTGTGCACACCGAACCACGCTGTTCATTTTCCTACAAAAAACGCCTAAATAATTAAACTTATAACTGAATCGGTCGCAATGTTACCAGTTGATAATGGTTCTTTGGCCGAGAAGCGACTGGTCTGGCAACTTTGCTCGCTTCTCAATTTGTCAACAGTGAAAACTGCAGTTGCACACCTTGGGGCCTAATAGGTGCACCCAATTAATACGTCAGCTGTTTTACTGCAAAATATCTTATGAGATCACAACACGGGTCACGCTCATGCCGTATATAGCGGTCCTCTGGCGTCGCCCGTGTCCGGAACCACTGTCACACCAAATGAGAAAAAAGTGAGTAAGTATAAGCACCGAGGACGCAATGGGCATCGAACCCGCGTCCCCTGCCTACCAGTCCAGCATTCCACCTTTGAGTGACGCAGGTTTTTTTTTTCTCTAATGCATGAAAACAATGCAATCTATTATTGTCACATAATAAAACTCCCTTGCAAATTGAACTTAGACAGGCTTGATGCCGGGAAAGGAATCGTGTTAATATCAGTGATAAAGCGTTATAGAACAGCAAAGGAACAACCAGGTGTCAGATGATGCGAATTGCGCAGCGAGTGGTCGTCGAATGCTCCAACTCTTTGTAAAAGTTTGATTTTGTTCACCTACTAACTGTGGCGCATACCCATTGTGGGGCTTGTGGGGATTACAAAAGCACACAAAAATTGCACAACGTTCTTTGCAATCGTGCAGCAAGTACCGCGCTTTTCCGAAGAATGACGAAAGAATGGCACAGTGAATGCCTGCATACTACACAATGAATAATGATGTGGTGGGTACTCTGCAAATGTGCTTCTAGCACTTGCCCAAAGCGTGCTAAAAGAAAGGCTTCGAAAGGGCCGCTCTCCTAGGTTTCGCTGCTACAGGGTTGCATGTTGCGTGCAGGCCTGGCGGTATCTTTACAAGGTCACGGTACTGTGGACAGATGTGAATTCAGTGGGACAATATGTAGATCACAAGCCTGCGAGAATTGGTCACCTTGAATTGCTTTTTTACAATTAGCGCTCACTGGCTCACGGCGCATAATAGTCGCTGGCATACATGAGCCTTTAATCTTTGGTAAATTTAGTAATGAAAGGCTCGTATATCATGTGAAAGAATATCCAACAAATACTTGTGCATTCAAAATTGAACGGAGTTATTGCATACGTCATAAAACCAATTCAGGCAAGCCTTATAAAGTTCAGGTGACGATGGAAGCTTGAAGAGGTGAAATTCGCTTGGACAAGCTATGTAGGCGCAGTGAGTGCTTCGGCAAACGGTCTCGTAACACAGTTGCAGCCTTTAAGAATACTGGACCGCTTGTGGAAACGTTGACTACAGTGACCAGCCGCGTTCAAGAATTTTTCGTCGTTTCATAGGGATCAATTTACAGTGATATGACAATCAAGAAAGCGTGCTGTCTCCGTTAAGTAGCGTGGAACACAGGGCACGTACCTGATAGCGCCTAAAATATCTTGACAATCATCTAGGTTCACCAGTCAAAACGGCTCACCATGCACGTTACGTCATGCTTGCTTTGACGCACTCTACAATTACGCGACTGAATACGCGTCGGTGACTATTGCGTGCATATATATACCTGCATTGGCACTTTAATTATGATGGGTTTGTTTTCTCACTTTTAAGGCAAGCAAGCTGGGCGAAAAATGTTTTCGGTACGTTGTAGATCGCTTTGTAAAACGATTCATTACACAGCGTCTAACGTTCTAGCTCTTAAGCATAAGTGCTTTTCTGCTCTTTGGAAGTGCCCGAGAAATATGAAAGAATTTTACGTGAAATGCCCGCTATCACGTGGTAATCGCAGTGCTCCCTGAGGCTCAGCGTGCGAACGACCGTAGCGTTAGGCCATTCGTGCGGCCGTTCAAAGGGACGCTAAAGTGTGACAATGAGTTTGTTTATTTTCATAAAGTGTGGCCTGAGAACTCTCACGCTGTTAGTTTCTCTTTGACGAATTGAATAATAGCGAAGAACATTTTCGCCCCGAAAGCTCCTTGCAACGTGTCGCGATTTTCAAATGAATTTTTTGTGGAATTGTGGAACAATGGCTCCACGAAATTTCTTAAATCTTCGTTTGTAAACCTTTGGCACTATCCGAGGACAACTTTATTTCTTGCCGAATAAAAGAAGCAGAAACCCAAATACGTGCCGTGAAAATCTCTGACGCCATGGCAATTGGTCAGGAATTTTTTATCTGCAGCGGCGTCGTCACATATTAGCATTGGCGAATGTTATCGCCTGACAAGCATAGTGATATCAGCGTTCAGAAATAGTAACTTATAATTGCCAAAAAAAACTTGATTTTCTTCTCAATGTCCTTTAAATGTGACAGGACAGCGACAATGTTGGTTGTTTTCAGAATAAGAACGTCTTCATTGCGCTACACACACAATGATGACCGCTGTGCCTGCTCATCGCATTCATGAGACGCCATGAGAAAGTATGTTGTTGATACGCTTATGCAGAACGTTAGAAGTTCGTTAATTAATCCAAGCTATTTCATCACAGAATGCCAACAATATTCTTAATTTCTGCATGCTATATCATGTGGGTTGGTGGGCTACCATTCACCAGTGGTCAACAAGTCAAACTTTCTCATATTTCACCATATATTGTGCTGTCTTAACGCACTTAAAACAGCACGTAAAACAGCAGACGTTACGTTACAACTGGTTAAAGCAATCTTACAGATGCTACGACTAATTATTAGAAGCAATCCTATATCTTACTGCGCAGCGTGCTATATCTTTTCTGACTGCCTAAACGTATACGCCTATGACGAAGTTTTTTCTTCTTTTTCTTGTACCTCTTAGGCTATGCCGTGCCACATGAAGGTTCGTCATCTGAAGACTCAAACGCAATTGCTGAACAAGATGACCACAAACATGATGATGGAGGCTTCCCAAAGGAACAATCCCAAACTGAAACAGAAAAAAACAAAAGCGATCCTGAAACAAGCACATCGTCCCCGAAAGATAGCAGTAAGAGCCACCAAGATGAAGCGCGTGAAGAAAACCTAGGTTCCAGCAAGAGTACAACAGGAGCAGACAGTGGTAGCCAACATGAAGAGCTAGAACAAAAAGATGACTCCGAAGAGACGACTACAGAATGTGGTTCAACTTCTGAAGGAGACAACGGCAGCCAAGATGAAGAGGGTGACAAAAACCAAGACCCCAGTGAGACTACAAAACCGGTTTCAACTGGAACTGAAGCAGACAGTGAAAACAAAGATGAACAGCTAGACGAGAATGAGAACTCCGAAGAGACGACTACAGAATGTAACTCAACCTCAACTGAGGAAGACAAAGACAGTCAAGCTGAACAGCGTGAAGAGAAGGAAGGCTCCGACAGTACAACAGAATCTGGCTTAGTGTCAACTGTTTTTGGCAACTCTGAAGACGACAAAGAATCATCGCCTTTGAAAAAGCTAAGCGACATATTCATTAAACCAATCAAAAATCTAGCCGGGAAATAAATTCCAGGAGATATAGGCAACTTGAGTGGTGTCTTTGTATATTGTAAACAGCAATTTGTAGCAGATTTCCCGTATTTTGGAAACAATAAAGCCTTATTTGTTAATTTTATGGAATTTGATGTGTTGAAAAATGTTCGAACTGCTGTAGGAAATAACACAAAAAGCATAGGCACGATATTGCATGATCTCCTTCTGGTATCAGCTTTTTGACATTTAATCGGAGTCACTTCTTGTCGGCTCTTCTACGGTATTTTTTGCCATTTTACGTGCAGCAATCAGTGCGGAAGAGCTTGTAAAGCTACCAGATCACCACAGAACATCGTTGAAGCCATTGAACTTATGACTTAAATAAAAGAGATAACAAATTTTGTCTCAATAATAAAATTGCTTGCAATCAAACTTCAGTTCAGCGGGAAAAAAAGCAAGAACTTCGAAACATGCGAGATTGCTGCCTCAATTATTTTCTCTGTGAGTGCAAGAGCATGCTACTTATTTTTATTTTATTTTTCTCTTTGGAAGAGGTGATTACGTTCCGTTCTGGACATCGATTTGAGTATCACCACTTGGGATATACAACAATCGTATTTGATAGCAGCGCATCATATTGCACTAATCCGTAAAAGTTTGTGATACATAGAGACACGCATTGCAATTGTCTTGCTGCAGCGTTATTAGTAATCCATTTAAATTGAATACAGCCAACTGAACTCTACATTTAAATTTAATACAACTGATTCAACTTCAATATTTAACAGAAACCAGGCAGTTCACGGTTGGACAGATACTAGACATACGTTGACGCAACGACAAAAAGAAGATTTAAAGAAAGCTTTGAAATTCATCTAAGCGGGTTTAGTTGAAGCCACGCCTTGGATGAAAAGTGTGAGAGAAGTTTATGTGTATCCACTGTTTGCAACAGCAGAGCCAAAGCAACCACATAGAGCGTGGACATGCAAAAACAAATTCAATTATCAGACTAAAACTAACAAGCGCTGCATGCATACTGAATTGTCCTCGGGTACGGACACGGAAATTAAAAAAAAAGCCATATGTTGTTACTAATAAACCATACACGCACTCTCTTTTATTTTCACAAATGCAATGAAACTGCTTTTAAACTATGCAGATACTTCCTGGTAACCAACTATCCATGCTTAGCTACACGCTTGTAGTTTAGACCATCATAGTGACTACTATAGTAAACTAGAATATGGCCTAGCCTTCAAGTTGAAGCTACCTATCTTGCGTTTCTGTATGACGTCCGGGGCCATGGAACGTCTGCTTGAGAGTTTAAAATAAGTGTTGCGTTGCAGATCTAGCAACATCGTGAGCATGCGTAACATTTGTTCGTGTTTTTAAAAAGCTGTCTGCACGCAAACAATAAATACCCCTACCTCCCGAAGAAAGTCATGAGGAAATGTCAATGCATTTCTTGCGCCGAGAGAGGGCACCGTCGCTGTCAGACAATTGCCTTCACCGACTCCTGTCATCGCCTTGAGAGGGGCCCAGCCAGCGAACGGTCGATAGTGAGGAGCGAGCGGACGGGAGAGTGGGGCGCCAGCGTTTTCGGCTCTGTACTGGCGTTTCACAGCGGCATCTCGAGCACACATTGGCAGATGTTCTTGAGAGGCGCACAGCCAGCGAATGATCGAGAATGAGGTGCAAGTGGGCGGGAAAGTGGGACGCAAGGAGAGAGAGAGCGAATTGCGAGAGAAGGAGCGGCGAAACACGGCACCTACACTCTCTCTCACCACATGCTCCGGTTGCTAGCAGCAAGGATAAGCGCACGCACCCGCAGTGGTTGCAATGGAAGAGGGAGTGAGAGTGGAGAGATAACACCTGCCGGCACACGGCTGCCGCCGCCGATGCCTGATGTAGCCCGACTAAGAAATGCATTCGCATGTAAAATAATCTTCCTAAATTTCATCCCAAATTATCTTCTTAAACTCCCGAGTGACCAGATTAACTAACCTATTGCATATGCCGCATAGTCTAAGGAACTGTCGCATTAAGAGACGTGGCGACCGCTACTATACTTACTATCACAGCATCAACACTCGTTAACGCTGGATAAAACTCAATAGCGTTCACTGAATGATGGCGAATCTTTACTTGTGTATGGTAATTTTGACTAATTGCAGTTGTGATGTCATTCTTGCTTCCTTGCAATCAGAATGACAAGATTCGGTTGTCTACAATTCGTTGCCTGCCAGGCGCTGATAAAATTATCTCTTTTTAAGCTAGGTTATAACGTACTAGCCGTTGTAACAGCCACAGGCTGTCTTTAGGGTTTCAGGTATTCTTTCAGGTAAAAAGAAGGTGCTACGAGTATTCGTGCTAGCCACAATATTGTCGATGTTTTGTACATTTCACCTCGGTGTTGAACGCACATTAAGTGGTTGAACGGGATATTAGGATGAAAATAATAATCACGTCGTCAAATGCGGAAATTGAACATCTATCTTGGCGGTGTTCTATGAGTAATACAACAAATCCTCATGTGAGGTTGTCATACATCGCCAAAATTGGTGAAATCATCACGGGGTCGCTATAGCGTGAACCTAACGTTATATAACGTAACGTCTCCTGATGAAGTTACCACTACACGCGGTCGATGGTCGGTCGATCAAGGTGGCAGCACAAAACCGCGTGAGTTTCAGAACGCCTGTCATTCCAGCATTCCTAGAAGCAGCGTACAACAATGTTAAGGGGAAAAGTTTTCAGAAGGAGGCGGCGGAGATTCAGTGCATAGACTGAGAAGGAAAAGAAGATGTGTTTCATTTTTAATGAATCCTATGTAAAGACACAAAGGATGCTGCTGGTTTTTCTAAATTCTACACTGATCCGACGGCCTAATTCTTTCATCAAGCCAGCTTGACATGGATGAGCAGTATACTGTCAAGTAACTCCGCCATCACGCCAACCGACGGTGGCTGCTTTCATGCAAAAATCTTCACTGGTATTGCTTGCTGTGGTTGTTCAGAAAAACACACGTTTTTTTAGAGCCGCATGACTGTACTAAAGAAAGGCTCTGTCTTTCAGCAGTGTTAATCTTGCGCTGTTTAATTGTCTGGGTGTTTTAGCGCATATTTGTTGGGTATGCTTGAAAACAAACTATGTTTTCACCATTCTAAGTATTTCAATTGTCAATAATAAATTTCTGTTGTAGGTTAACGCGTTTTTCGCGTCTCTTAGTCGAACCTCCTGTTTCTGTTCCGTGGTTCAAGCACCGCATAAGCTACGTCACTGGCCAGCCCAAACAGTCAGTCAGCTGAAGTACAGTTTCGGGAACTCTATAGTTTGTAAAGCCAGCCGATACTATTAAAGAGACTGGTGCCATGTGTTTCGGTGAGCATGATCAATATACGAAATTTTCTTAACATGACGTTTCGAAAACTATCCAACGTAACAATAATTAGATCTAGGTCAAATCAGTAGCAGAGACAAAGCGAGTGACCTTCAGCAAAAAGATGACATTCAGTGGTTAGTGAGTGATCAACCAGGGTACCCTGAATATCATGTTAATAATGGTATTTCGGGGTCTTTCATGCACTAGTGCTGTCAGAAGGTGGTATCGGTAACCTAATGGTTACTAGCAGCTCTTCCCTGAAATTTGGGAAACAGTCATGCCACTGTAAGGCTTCCTGATCAGAAATACCTCGACACAAATTCTTCACGCGATGAAGACAACTCAGAATGCCTCAACATGGCATCGGGCATTTTTCTTTACTTCCTCAGAAATATGTGACTACCTTTCTGAAATCCTCTGATATGGACGAAACGTCCAGTGTTCTGAAAGAAAAAGATCAATGCAGTCTCGCATCACTTGTAAAAAAGCGCGATTGATAGCACTTGTAACCAGTTCTACAGCTGGCACTGTTGGCTGGGGAAGGAAAACAACGAATGTGATAGCGGGAAAGTGGTAAGTTAACTCTCTAGAATACGATCTGGCGTAACTCTATGAAATGCTGTAGCGTAAGAAAGTACGAGCAGCCCTGCAAGTGGGACAGTTTCTGTGTTGTCTATCGATTCAACTAGAAGTGTTGAGAGCTTTGTAGATACCAACTACGTCCATTACGGCGGGCCATCATGTCCTGTAGGCTTGCAAATGCTGGATTTTTTTTTTAAGAAAAGGGGGCGAATGGCGCACCTGCAGAAGGCCTTGGTTATTTGAGTAAAAAGCGCATATTTAATTACTTTATTAGGTTTCACTAAATGCACCCTCCATCAAAATATCATCCCTTCCTCCGGCTACGAACCTGTAGGCATTTCTTTTGGAAGTTCCCGGCGTCAAGTCAAGCGAAAGCCAAGTAATAACGCCCTTCACTTAACTCCGTACACGCGATTCATCCTGCCTACACATACGGGGTGGCGAGTGATTGGTTCTGCAGCGCTACCAGTCGGTTTTTTTACTCTGAGACGGTGCCTGCATCAGCCTATTGGGGCAATAAAGGGGGAGGGGAGTGACAGTTGGCTCTAGACGTGAGCATGTGGCACGAGATGCGAGACACGAGAATGCGCAGTGGAGGTGTGCATGGTGCCGCTGACACCGGATGCGTGACCTCGATCGACTACGAAATGCTCCGCATTTAAAACGTGCTCTAGCTGCTTCTTTGAGGAATGCACCAAGCTGGACAGTGTTACATAAAGCTGTCGTGTGAACTTCTCGCTAGGCAACTTACGCCAGCGTGCACTACGTTTTCGCGCTCAAAACATGAAGGTTTTTAGGGGCGAAGCTCCTCTTAGTCTAACCTTGTCATGCGTCACATGTAACTGAGAGAAGAAAAGACGAGAAATAAAAGCAGCTAGTATCTCCCGAACAGTATAACAGACGGTGCTGTCTCGTAGAAGTACCTACAAACTGCAGTTGAGTGA